TGATAACTCAAAACACTTTGTTGAAATTGAAATATGGTGTACAGAAGGATGGATAAGCATTGCAATTATTCACACCAAATATTGGAAATACGCTTTGAAAATAGGATGCATAATTTCAAATACTGCTGTACTGGGTGAATTGGGGAGAATGAGATGATGTTTGATGTATGATCATGATTTTGCGGGTGATGCTATATGAATTCTTCCAGGCAAACATCCATAGCACTGATAATGTTTTTCATATTGTGTAAATATGATGAATTAGGTAATAAGAACTCTGCACACCACAATATTCCAGCTACGAGTACATCACTGTTATTACTGTACTCAGCAGCAAACAAAACCGTCAGTACGAATTCAAAATTAGATAGGCACTGTGATCAAATAATTACAGAAATGGACATAATAAGCGGATCAAAAACATCTTTTGTGTACAATATCTTGATACATCAACGAATAACTCAAGACAATTTCAAGACATTACGTGAACATTTGCAGTCCATTCAGAATCTTGACTTCAGTATCTAGTGTGACCACCAAGAGCAGCAATAACTGCAGCACAGCGTCTATGCATGGAGTGCACGTACCAATCGATTGATGAAGGCCATTGGCACCTGGAACCACACTCTTTGAAGGGCCTGGCGCAATAAATCGGCTGTGTTCGGCCTTGGTATGACATTATTCAGTCTCCTCTGAATTTCATCCCAAAGATGTTCAATTGGGTTTAAATCAGGACTACGGGCTGGCCACTGCATAATGTTGACACCATTCTGCTGTAGGAAGTCCCGTGTAGCTCTGGCAGTATGGGCCCGGGCGTTTTCATGCTGGAAAATGTTGTTCCGGTGACGTGCGAAATGTGGTATGACGTGGGGTCTGAGAGCTTGGCTGATGTAGCGCACCGCTGTGATGCCGCCTCCTCTCCCTGGACCAAAGTTTTGGAACACCACACGACCCACTCTCTGGTTCAGGCCTATTCCACCCCATACCATGATGCTTGCACCTCCCCATGAGTCTCTTTTCATAACACATTGGTCTGAGTAACGCTGGCCACGTCGTCGCCATATTCTTGTTCTGCCATCTGCAGTTGATACGCAGTACCGACTCTCATCTGTGAACAGAACAGTTCTCCATTGCCTGTATCGCCAAACTGTAGACGTTCACGCCGATGAGGAGGGGTGAGGATAGATCCACGGTAAGGTCTACGGCAATGGAGGTTCCCGCTGTTAAGACGTCGGCGTACTGTATCAGTACTGATAGGTCTTCCGTGTGTTCCCACTGTCTGGCGTGCTGTTTCGGATGCCTGCATGAAGGGATTCTGTACACGCTGTCGCGCCTGGTTTCTCTCAGCTGTTGTGAGTAACGGCATCCTGCTGACGTTGTAATGTGAATGTTTCAACCAGGTTTGGGGGGTGCATTTTATAGGGCTGGTCCTTGTGAACAGCACGTGCAGCATGAGTTGCATGAAAAACATGGAGAACACCGTACCATGTCCGAGATCGGGTTGCATTTTTGAGACCATTTCCTGGGTTCCATTCTGAGTTTGGGAAGGAATGTCTTTGCTCAGGTGAAGTTAGAGATGTTGTCAAAAATATACAATCAAAACATTAAATGAGTTTACAGTTATCCGTTTCTGCGACGGAAAATTCCAAACTGACGTTTCTTTTCCTGCTTAGTATATTTATCAGTGTAACAAAATTATTAATTGCAGGATAAATACTGAAATATTTCTCTATGTATTTCCTTTTGTACACAGAATATGTTTCACAAATATAGAATACATGCCATTCATCTTCAAGTAGAAAAATACCCTTGGATTTACATGATTGGCAATGCCTCTCTTCCATATCTACCAGTTTCAACTTCTAACTGAAAATTACAACATCTAAATTGTGAAGAAAAAAGTAATATTTTTCAATTTTTAATAGAGATTTGAATTTGCTATCATAAAAACCTTTTACTGAAGAGATTAGTAGAAATAAGTATCAAATGCCTTAGAGAAATCTCAAACAGGCAGTGACATCTTCCATCCTTTTTGCTAATGTTTTACTGAACTAAGGACTGCAAGTAAAATATGTAATCAATGGTAGAGTAATTAGGTCTAAAACCAGCTTGTGATAACATCATGCACATAACACCATACTTGGAGGCGGCTATTCATAACAGACATAAATATCTTACAAGTGGAATCTATAAGTGAAATGCCTCTATAATTATTTGGATCATTTTTACAACTTGACTTATATTAGATAAAGGGCAAATAATACTATCACCCTAAGAGTTGGGAAATCTACCACTATAAAAAATAGAATTAAAAAGCTGAGAACGGTATGGAACAATAAGATGTCAGCTAGCCCTCAAGAACCCTGAAGCTACAATATTTGGTCCTGGAGATTTATTATTTGCTGCACTGATGTTATGGACTGCTCAGTAAGACCTGGACCACATCTGCCACGGACGCAGTATGACAAAGTAGTCTACGACTTTCCGTACGATGTTTTAGGCATCGTGGGTCACCGCTGGCTACGACGTTTGTGTTCACATTGTCTGCGGGCATCGTGTGATTTCCTTGGGGACAGGCCGAGGTAAACCTGCATGGAGGCTGCACAGAAATCGTACGGAGATCTTACGGAGATTGTACGGAGATCTGTGCTAGTGCACAGCGCCACCTACGGGCTTCCAATTTTTTCGAATTTGTCAAACTTCGCTGTCAAAATCATTGAGGCTAGGGCGTCTGTAGAATCGCAGTTTTCGGGCGCCGTAGACCCATTGCAAGGCAAATGTGAGCCAGGCATGACTGGGTGATTAAGACCTACTAACGTCTCCGGTGAAAGATCGACATCAGAAGTATTCACTGGATTTTTTGCCTCTGCAGAAGTGTACTTATTTAGAGGAGAGCACAGGAGCTTGATATAACGAGACAGTGGGCGCTATTGTACATGTACTATAATTGCTCCGCGGGGGCAGTCATCGCTGGCTGATGCTGCGCCCGAGAAACTGCACTCTAGCCGATTGGTGAATTCTCTGGATATATGTATGGGAATAGGAAATTATGTCTCTCCCATTTAGCACGTGCTGCATGAAAAATCAAAACAACACAGTTCTGAAAATCTTCTTACACACGTTTAACGACACCAATATTCCTGAAAAAGTCCTTTCTAAACACAGTCAAACCTTCACCATAACGTCAGATGTTGTGAACTTTTTGACGTACACTATTAAAACACGGTAGACTGTTAGAAACTCACTGAATTCATTATCAGAACGTACCAACACTTTCACTGAACCCTATAACGTCATATTTAACTTTTTAAGCACTGATATAGGACTTAATAACTCTGTAAGAGCATATATAGGACTGTCGTATTTCCTCAAACCTTCAATGTTCTATGTTAGAATGTTTTCATTGCTCCCTGTACTTCCTTGTCGACTGGGCCTTTGCCAGATCCCTAGATTGTGTTGGGAGTAGCCTCCCTTGCCTTGTCACTACTTCCGCATACATCAGATGTAAAGCACGTGTCTTTGTTGTCACTGCATCTCTGTAGCCTGTCGGGGATCCCCGTGAAGACCTAGGAATATCCAATCTTCCTGATATTTATTGCACTATTTTGTAAAGGAAGGAACTTAAAATTCAAATTTGAATTTTCCGTGGCTAACACTGACGTCCTGTTTTGTTGGATACCCATTTTTGTAAGTCATTGGGGCAAATGATTCTGCTCTCGAAAGGTCAATGTCGTGCAGTTCCACACACTGAACTAAAACTGCTGTACGGTAATACGTCAAAACAAGCAAGTATCTAATCAGCTTAATGCCATACAACCCTTGATGGATATAATGCCCCAACTAATCTTCAAGATGAAGCGGCGATCCGAAGCACGGGCCCTCGTGTCTTTGCGAGAATTAAAGATTAAAAAGAAATTCAGATGACCTCCGACTCTAAATGCTTCACAGTACAATAAATCTTGATTTGGCTGGACGCTGCTTTGCCGATCGCTACGCTACCATCGCATGCAATCCATTAAAACTTCATGTAAACATAATCATGGATGATTGGCCTATCGATCACCACTCGTAACACCTATTTATCCTTTATTGTTATTTCTGGAAGTCGATTGGAGCCGATTATGACCCTCAACTGAATGTCCGTCACAAATGGATGACAATAGGTCCGCACAAAACGGGGGTATGGTCGAAGCAAGCCATCTGATTGGTCGACGCTCGTTAACTAAAGGAAAAGAAAACTCTAAACTTCCTTCGGAAGAACTTCGATGCTGTGTTTTCTAAATGGATGAAGCCAAACCAGACGAGGTTGCCTTGGAACTAAGCAGGTGATGAAATAAAAATTTGCTGCGAATTTATAAAGAATGTTCAGATTTACAAGCGTCGACCAATCAGAGGGCTTGAAAGGATCTGTCACAATGTGACTGTCTGGTCACCTGGTCAGACAATGCATTCTGTTATTTTACGTTTTAACTTATTTTCTCTAAATTCTTTAAGTTCCTCAATAACAACAAAAAAGCTGTTATCCATAAAACGTTTCATGCCCTTACGTTCTTTCAACTTCGACTGGATATCAAAGACTTACAAATCACATGTACATTGATCTCTTGCACAATATTAAAATAGGTATCGGTTTGCCGTTGGAGAATAATTGAAAGATGAATGTAGTAAGTGAGTGAGTGAGTTTTAATTCAAATGACGTCGGCAGTATTTCAGCCATATTGTGACTTGATCAAGTTATACAATTCTACGACAATTTTAGATAATAGATTTCAAACTAAAATCTGTTCACAAAGGACAGTAAAACAGATAGAGATTTAAAACTAGTATGAAAAAAAAAAAAAATTAAAGATGAATGTACATCACGGATGTCAGCTGTTTCAGCCACCATTTTTAAATACGTAAGTGAGTGGGTATGGTTGTACGCCTTTAGCACTATTCCAGCAATATCAAGGCGGGTGACAATCTGTAGATAATCAAATTAGGACCAAACATTAAACAACTGTCAACGCTATGGGATGTCTGACCAACCCTTTCCTTAGTTGTATCGGATCCTACATTCATTGAGATCTTGGCATGTATTTTTATGACCATCTCAAGCCATGTCCGTGCAATCCAAATGTATTTTTAAATAATAATCTAATAATTATGTACTTCTTTTTCTCACACGACCCATCTAACCACAAAAATATGTTCAACATAAAATTATATTAGTATATGCTTCATAAATAATTCTACAAACCTTATTGAATGAAATCAGCCTTGGCGTCCATGAAGATCGTGTATCTAGAATCCTACGACTAACACTTTATACCTATACTTATAGCCTGTTTTCTTTTCTTAGACCGTAGTAATGTATAGTCAGTTTCAATAATGCCATAACCCACATTTTTCAATATACACTTATATGCAAGTAATTTACATTCTGAGTAATCTGCTACACGTGCAGCTGTTTTCTTTTTGATTTTGATGTGGACTGTTGCGGAGATGCAACAAAAACACCGAAAAGTGTTTGCATTACCATTTAGAAAGTTCAGAGTGTCAAATAAAAACACCTCTCATGAAAGATGTATGACAAAAGGGATGATTTCAAACTTTCCTTTCATGTGGAGCACCCCCAGCCTTTGGTGTTTACATTTCACAACATTTGAGATACAATCGAGCAGGATCTTTGTACCAAGTTATCAAAGAGTACCATACCACTCTTGCTCAAACGTTTTTTTATTACAACATTAAAGGTTACAACTGAAAAGCCCAACATCGCACACTTGTAATACCGCTGAAAGAAAAACATAAATGATTTTGTCACAATTGTACAATCAACTCTTCTTTAAGCAGAGATTTCTCATGGACGTCGAAAGGGTTTTGTCGCTACTATTTGACAGTATAAAGTTACAGTCAGTTTCAATATTATGATAAGACAGTATGTTATGGCACACATACGAATGGCGTAGGTTACATTCCCTATAGCCTGTGATATATATTTGTTATCACGCGAGTGTGTTTTGGGATGGTTAATATCCTGCATTAGGAATAAACATTGTATTTAGCGAGCCTTGGAGAGCTAACTACATAGTGTTTATTCCTATTGCAGGATATTAACCATCCCAAAACACACGAGTGTGATAACCTATTTATCATACAATGTCATTCTTACTTTATAATTTTTAAAAATGCGATTTAATTTGCCTCAAATCATGAAACTAAACTTCGTGGAATGTGCCCGCATATGTTTGACGTCACAAATATGTGCGTAGTAATTCGTGACGTCAAAAACTCTGCGACGCAATTTTCTACTGATCACTCATTTGACTGCGTTACGTCATCTAGTTCCTAGTAAGTTTTTTATGTTAAAGAGTGTATTGTTGTCAACAAATCTTAGCTTACGTTTGAAAAATAACGAAAACTCGAGTGGAATTTCAGAAAATTTCAATTAACCGTTTGAACAGCAAATATAATGTTCGCGTAACATTCTGCAAGCGCACTTGTCAACTGACAGTGTCAAACAGTTCATTCGAGATTTTCCTGGCTGCTGTCCTAGTCAATGATCGCAAGACGCCTGCGTTTCGGTGCTGGTGAAGCTTTAGCTGGGACAATGTTTACAGTTATGTTGCCACCCTTCACTGAACCCCAAACAAAGTGTTAACACCACCAGAAACATTGACAGTCATCTGGTTTTCGGATCGAGTGGAAGTGCACGAAACTGCACGAGGTGCCATGATGGAATGTGAAGTGCCCGCCGGCAAGGTCAAGAGATAATTTCCAGGATTGCCACTTGTGTCAGACAGAACTCGAGACATTTCACGGTGTTGATGTTCATTAATCTTACTGTAATTGTTTATTGACTGAATGTTTCTGTGACCCGAGAGCTGCATTATTTGGTTTGGGGGAACATGATTGTCCGAAAGTTTTTGGATCAGATATTTCCTGGCGCTATGGTTGGTCAGGCGTTTGGATGATTCAAGTGCAGATTCTGACATGGATTTCATCAGAGATGACAACTTTCGATCACCGATTGGTTGGCGACGAAACCAGATGGTTGTGTCAGTGTAAACCGAATTCGGACCAAGTGTGTTTGTTGCGATGTAGAAGGGATCACACGGTTCACTATAACCACTCGGACGCTTGGCTGCATATTGCTTGTCGATACTAACAACACATCTACTTGGATCATCAACATTTTGCCACATTTTTGGTGTCACCTCTCTGATATCTTTAGGATTGACACCTGACCGTGTTTTGGTCTGTTTCTCATTGAAAGCCAAGTATTCGTGGCAATTACTGTCGGATTTTAAGGAGACATCCCCCCAACACATTGATCGATGCTCCTCGGCACCCCTGAGCCCGAAATGCACTGTGTTAAAAAACCACAATGTGTTAATGATGGAATGAGGAGTGTTTGTTCCAAATTGACCACTCTCTCACAGTTTGTTAACTTCTTCGTCGGATATGGAATCTGCACGATTTGGTAAGTTACCTTTTCCTTGTTTTTTTAAATCGACTTGACGTGATTTCAGCATATGCTTCGAACTTTAGAGAACTCAGGTGAATGAGAAAGAATGAGGCCATACTCTTTACTTTTCAGATATCTGTCAACACTAGCCAGATATGACCTCAGAGTTAGTGGTTCGGGGTCTGAGCCGTTCTTTTTCATGACACCGATGAGAAATTTACACATGAAAGTGGAGAGTTCATTAAGGGGTATAGTTTCGATGGGACGAAACTCGTTCTGTGTTGACAGATAACTGGTCACAAGTTTCATTGTATAGGCAGTTGTTTTAGCAGTATTCTTGTCTTCATTGTTCTCAGTTATCTTATTGATGTCATCTACTTCAACGGTACGAAACCTGGACCCCGTGCCGTCTGCTAGCTTACAGTGACAGTCGGTCGGGGAACTGGAGTTGGTATCTTCCGGACCCTCTGAAATTCTAACTTTGCTTCGTAATCAGTCCCTTCTATAATTACGAGACAACAATTTTCTCTGATCAAGGAACTCACAGTATGTAGCCACGGCCGTCAATACGGACACGATCGCCGATAGATGGGCGTGACGCCATGTTTGTTTACACCGTGAAAGTAGTCCCTAAGATTTGCATATGACCTCTCTAATTTGCATCGATATCCGTATATGACCCCAACGGATACCGAAAATATCCGTTGGCTTTATCCTGCCGAGAACACTATCCATTGTATGATAAAGGTGGGTATTTTCATTGATTATTCCTTGTTATATGAATTTTATAGGACAGCTTTGACAACACAGACGCATACAATTCGACAGTAAATAGTTATAGCCTGTTTCAGAAATACAATATACATGTAGAGTATGTTTTGTGGTATATACATGTACATGCATGACATTTACAACCTCTCAATGCAGCTATTTTAATACCAAAGGCATATGTTTCCATAATTCTAAAGGATTGCATGACATAACTTTGAAACAGTCTCTTCCATAGTTAAAGGAAGTCAAAGAAATAGAATACACCTTCTGTAGGTTTGTAACATGTAATAACAGAATAACATGTAATAACCGCTTGTGTAGTCATCTGACCTCCAGATCAGGTGTGGATGAATGAAAAACCAAGGATGACGCGCCATTCGAATCTGGTATTGATGCTTATCATCTCATTCATCAATACTCACTCTGTGCTACATTGTTTTAGTTTCTAATATATAATTTGATTTAAAACCTTTATGTTTAAACTACACATTTTGCTTAATACGCAACTGCCTTTAGAAATCAATGTTTCCTTTCAGCACAAAGTTCCAAAATTTGGGGATTATGGCTGTTAATTCATTCCTTATTGAAGTAATCATAAAGCTCTTTACTTGGCAAATTAGGCAACCGCAGAGTACCTTTTACGGAGTAAGTGATGTGAAAGACACCAATTTTAACAACGGTCCTTTCAACTTTCAAATGCATTAAAACAATCGTTTTGGTTTAGTTTATCTTGGTTTGTTTAGGAAACCCGTGATGGGGCGGCTGAATTTGGTTAATTAGACTTAGAACAGCATATCAAGCCTACACGTGCATACATTCTGCATGTTATCTAGTCGTGTCGCGGCATAATGCTACTTGATCATCATCGCTGTCATAACTGTGTCATATGTGGGTCAGTATACGCTCACCTTTGCACGACACAAGGTTCAATGACATGTGATAATGATATCATCTTAATCGTAACGCTTACTGAGATATCTTATGCTTAAGGGTTGTATTTTCTTTTGTCGCTTGTATGTTTACCATATGCTGTTACACACCCTTTCAAATAAAGAAAACTACGTATATAACGAACATGTTTACAAAGAACAACTGATACATATTTTTCCAGTCCGTTTGCTATTTGTTAGTCGAAATGTAGAACGAAATACGGTTATCACGTGCTCAAATTAGCTGTCCCTTCGATTTCGTTATAAACGTAGTATACTATACATCAACGCCCTTATCAGCGTTGCCTTCTTTCGTTATAAACGCCCTATACATCAACGCCCATATCAGACTTCTTTAAGCCCGAACGTACGACCAACATGCTTACAAAGAACTGATAAAACCGAGTACATATTTGTCCAGTCCGTTAGTTGTGTCTATTTGAGTTTCGTTATTTCGTTAACGTAGTATACTATACATCAACGCATCAACGTACTTACGACCAACATGCTTACAAAGAATCCCGAACATATCAGTCCGTTAGCCTTTATAAACGTTTCAAGCCCATATCAGCGTAGCCTTCTTTAAGCCCGACGTTTACGCTTACCAACATATTTGTCTTTACGCTTTCGTTATAAACGGTATACTATTTAAGGATGTTTATACGCGCTTACAATGATTATACGTCCGTTAATTTCTAATCCATCATGCATATGACTAAGTTCAGATGCGGCAGTGCTATACATCATTAATAACGTTGACCAACATGCTTTTATGGTAGGATATAACAATATCCCATGCATATAAAGATGCGGCACTGCAAAAATGTTTTATTGACAGAAAATGTTTTAAAACACTGTGTTG